GGGGGAAATGCGTACTTTCCAGTTTCATTAGCAATATGCTTTCAAATGCACTTGTGACCAAGGAAAGGATCAACTGCAAACTGCATTCCCAAACGAACAAAATCCCTTCTTTCTGAAGCCCCTGTGATTTGCTCTAACACCTTCCTGTCAAACCTAAACAGAGTCCACTGGGTAAAGACACTAGCATGACCCTGCCTGCTGGGCTGGCATCCATACCCACATGCACACTTGGATGCTCTGACTTTGCTGGTGCCTGTTCCTTCCCTGTGGGGGTGGACATTTAAAGTTTGGGATGTTTTTGAAGCCAGCAGGGCTAACCAAAGATGCCAGGAAATGAGGAGCAAAGAAAGTGACATAATTGAGGGAAGAACTATGCCTGTAATGCCCTACGAGGGAGTCACTCTCAGCTACTGGCGCTTAAGTTACTTACAATTAAATAGAGTTAATAATTAGCTGTTCCATCATTAGCCACATTTCAAGGGCTCCGTAGCCAAGAAACAAACTATAGAATGTTTCCATCATTGCAGAGCACCCTGGTGGCCAACGCTGGGCTGGGCAGCCTCGCCTCTTTTTCCGGGCAGTGTGGCCAGCATTGTGTCCTTAGAGCAGCTGCATCCAGACAAGGGATGGGTTCCTAGTTCATTTACATTCTTGGGCTGTATTCCTTGACCTGGGGTTTGCCGAGCACTGCGTTGGTACAACAGGGAGCACAACACAGAGCCAAACTCACGGCTTCCCTCCTGAGGACGGAGGGGTGTGCCACTAAGGTGAGACGTGGATGCAGCCAAGCAAACTGGGAAGTGTGGCGTTTTAAAAACTGCTTTAAGTAAAAATATTCTGAATAAAATTAGGTAAATGGCTTCTAAACATGGCCCATTTTAAGACATCACTATCTAAGCTCCTCATTTAGACACCATCAAAGACTCGATCAGGATTTTGACTCTCCTTCAGACCTTGATGAAAGGAGGAAAAAGCAAAGGAAAAATTGTTTCTCTTTGAATGAAATCAATGTGCAAGGACAGAATCCTGTGGCTGGAAGAGGTCCTGGGAGATCTTTCCCTTGGTCTTTGTTGTTTTAAACAAAAGCCACCTCCTTAGAATTTGTTTTTTAAGCCACATATTCTGTATTTCACATTTAATACTTGGTTTCTAATACTGCTCTTTATGTAATAGTTCACTTAGTCAACCTCTGCCTTGCTTCACAGATTTAAGGGGCTTAACATGTACATAGTTCAGAATGGATGCCTGAAAGTAGGCAGTATTGCCTGAAGACTTTCAATAGTCAAAGTAGAAAAGCACACATAGGTGTTTACACAGGTCACAGTGTAAAAAGGCACAAACAGAGCTGCAGTTTCAACAGCATGTGGTTCTTCCTCAGATGGAAACCTCAGCAATTGTTCTCACATGGGTCCTCATACTTGAAGATGTAATAGATGACATTTAATGAGGTTAGGTTTCAGATTTGGGGAAATATTACATTTGCAACTCAGACAAGTGTATACATAAAATATAGAAGAAAAAATAACACTAGAATATTGGTTATCATGAGTAACCAGCTTTGTTCCTCAGGTCTCAATGCAAGCCCGGGTTCTCATCATCATCTCATGATCTGCCTACCTCAGTTTCTCACCTCCAAATGGAGCTTCCTGGAAAAGCACCTGGCTGGCCAGGATTATTCTTTGCACATGCTGACATGTCCCTTCCTAGCAAGACTGCCAGTCACTGTCATTTTCATTCTGCTCCTTGAGGCGGCTTGTGGACCTCTATTCATTTATCTTTAGAGAGTCTACAACTTTTTTATTAACAGCCCATCCCCACTCCCAGCCCACACTCTGGGTCCCATCACATTCACAGAATCAAACAGAGTGATTGGACCAATTTTTGTAATTAATTGTGGCAAAAAGAAAGAGAAATTGATAAGATCTTGGTAGAATGTCAAACTTACCATCCTTTGATGTGGTCCCCAGAGTGGGCTGCACCAAGGAGAGCAGGGGCAAGGCTGCGATCAGACCCCTCCACCCCGCTTGCAAGCAGTTTGCTCCCATGAGGCTGCTGATCAGCATCCCAATCAGGATGGCTTTGGGCAAATGAGCACAGGTAGAAAGCCCACGTAAGGATCCTAAAGCAAGAGGGACTGGCCTTGCTCCGCCCCATGGGCTGGAGCAGTGAGCCTTCCCTGCCTCCATTAGCATCTTGGGACAACCAGCCAATCATAAGCACCCCCTGAGAAACAAATCTCCTGCCCAGAAAAGCTCTGGGGCCTTAGCCTCCCCCACCCCAACATGCTCCTGGGCTGGTTCCTCTGAGATGAGTATGTCCTAAGTGATGTTAATTTGCAGGGAAAAATGTGTCAATCATCTGTGAGGCTCAGTAGTAGCTCACTCAAGAAAAACAATATAGTTATTAAAGTATCATAATTTTGTGAAAAATAGCTGGGTCCTGTAATTTGCAGTGGAAGGGCATCATGGGACATGTTTTAAGCCGTTGTCAAGTTAGAAAAGACAAATTTGCTACACCTGGGACTAAAGTAGGTACTCTGTCTTATATAAATACTCAGTAATTTAAATTAGAAGTGGCACCTCTCTCTTCCATAGTCTTCCATGCTTTCCATTGGCTTCAAAATAAAATTAAAAATCCATGGCTTGATATTTAAACACCTTGATAGGCTGCCCCCAAATGCCTTGGGTCCTTTGGCCACTTGGAACATAGGGGAACATAACCAAGCCCTAATTGTTCTTTCTCGGCAAAGTCACATGCAGCAATTCTACTGAAGGAATGCGATCAATACAATAGGAATCATCCTTCAGCACTACCGTGTTTGGTGATACTTTAATTTCTCCCTCAGTAGTACGTTACAAATAGGGAGTAACCATAACCACCTTTGCATTTATCTTGTTCCAATGCAATTGTTAAGAAAAGCACAACACACATATTATATGGGGTAATGAATTAGGTTCAGAAGCACATATTTTGAGTGGTATACAATTATCCATATTATCTCAGCTTCCTCACCCCCGCCCACCCATCTTGCTTTCAACGAAGTCTCATCTTTCATCTGGAGTGGTTTTTCCACATTGAATAACAATATTATTCAATATAGAGAACTGCTATTTCATAAAGTATGAATAGAATCCTCTTAGGAAAGCATTGCTACTTATCTGAGCCCAGATCGTATGATGGTACATGCCAAGGCAGACCCAGGACAAGTCCCATGGTCCTGGGCATGGTCCCTCTCAGCTTCCCCATGGAGCTGAGCTGGAGCACCACTGTTTCTCCTGGTTATTTCAGACTTGTCCAGTGTGAAGGGAGGCCCACCTGTCATTTAGGACAGGTAAGCAACCAAACATCTAAGAATCACACTGGGCATTTCTTCTAGATTTAAGACTGCATGCTCCAAAAACTGGTGAAGACCCAGGCAGGAGCTGCTTTGGGAAGGCCAAATATGAACTAGGTGAAGTGTTAATGAGGAGGTCCCGCCTTCCATCAGGCACTTCCCTCATGAGGGCTCCTTAAGTCCTCTACCTCCTTGGCAGGGTTTATTTGCAAACAGTGAAAGAAGTGAACAGAGAAAAGTACAAATATACAAGGTAGATGCCCTCCACTCAGCTCTGGTTCTCGCTTCTGTCTGGTTATCTGTTTTTCTCCCCTAGAAGACTTCACTAGAATTTTCTCTCAGTAAGGAAGATAACAAATAATCTTAAATTGAAACTAGTATGGTAAAAAGTGGTTACAGTGTATATATGTAGATTCCTTTACATTTTTAAACAGCTTGAGTTTAGAAATGCAGGGCTGTCTGGTCACAGGGTTTGAGCAATAAGGTCACTGGATGATGACAAGGTGTGCTGAGACATGCCAACCAAACCTCTGTGAGCCTCAGAAGAGCCATGGAAGCCACTCAATTTGTACTGTGTGCTGCTGTGAACTGGCAGCTTCTGTTTAGAGAGAAAAAAAAAAAGCCAACTTTTGCTTGTTCTATATTGTAAGGCTCATGCTATGGTTTGAATGTGTCCCCTAAATTCTTATGTTGGAAGCTTGGTCCTCTGCAGCAGTGTTGGGAGGTAGGGCCCGATGAGAAATGATGAGGTCATGCAGGCTCTGCTCTCATGATGGTTAATGTTGCTACTGTGAGAACGGGTTAATTACTGGGAACAGGTTGTTATCGAAGGCTGTCTGCCCCTCTTGCCTCCTTTTTGTCTCCTGTACCCGCTTCTGTCTTGTGCCCTTCTGCCAGGGGACAATACAGCAAGGAGACCTTCACCAGATGGTCTTTGGTTTTGGTACCCAAAACCTTAAGAACTCTTCTATTTATAAAAGACACAGTCTGTGGGAATCACGTATAGACACACAACACAAACTAAGACTGCTTATAAATGCTCATATTTTACACTTCCCAGTTTGGAAACCTGCCAATGAGTAATGCTATTTTCTTTAATTACAACCATCACAGGTGGTCAGTGTGTTTACTCACTGTTAGAGAAACTGTCTCAAGTTTCTCTTATGATGCTGGAAAGAGCCAAAAATCCATTCCCAGGTCTTAGGGTGTAGAATTCAGCATCTTTCCAAGCTACACATGCTGGATATAGTTAGAAGATTGGTTCCTTTGGTGCTACAGGCAAATAGGACCCAGATTCCAGGACGGTAGCTACATTTTCTTGTGCTACCCATAGGGTCATCTTCCTTACTGTCCAGTGATCCATGAAGTCCTCTGCGTGGCTGGTCTCTCCCAGGATCCCTCAGCCTAGAACTTAATAACTGGTCACTCTGCCCTCACTGCAGACTGTTACAGACACTGATTGATCCTCATCCATGTTGGGCCCATGGTAAAAAGAGATGATTCTGCCATGTGGTGCCACCTTATTGATAGAGACTCCAGTATTCTAACCTGGTATAATATCATAGTAACAAATAAAAAATTTAATTTTCTATTTATGAAAATAAGGATGCGCTGTGAAGAGTCTAAAGTCTAACGTTCAGGAAATTGTAACTGCCAAGTGAATATGTAAGGCACTCAAATAACAAATATTTATTGCTTAGTCCCTTAAAAACAATTTATTACAAAAATAGTAAATACAATTTTTAGAAAATACACACATGTACAAAGATCGAAATAAAAGAACACTGAGAAATACTGATTGTTCTCTATTATACTGGGTATACCAACATCTAACCTGCTTTTTTAACTTAACTGTAAGTCATAAACATTTTGCCATATCAGTACACTTTTTTCTGTAACATTACTTTTAGAGCATATCAAACCATATTTAACCAATCCCCAATTAATTCATAATTAGAATATTTTGTGTTTTTCTAGTGTAACAGTTCTAGAACAACTTTGATTATAACCTTTGTGTAAATTCTTATAAATATTGAGTCAAAGGGGGCACACAACTTTTCAGGCTTTCCATATAAAATAAATACCAAATTAGACTCCAGCTAAGTGGTATCAGTTGACATTCCCAATAGCACCGTCCAAGTGGGCTAATTTATCTCCTTGATAATCTCAGGGTATTTCTAGTTATAACGTATCATTTTTATTTCTTGAGTCATCAACTGTACTTAGAAGAAGCTCTAAAAATCCAAAACGGAAGCTTCCTTTTAGATCCTCCCTATTAGAATCCATATGAAAGTACAGAATTACAATGACATGAGCAAAACTGAGGAGTGAGAGTTCTTAGCTTTTCTCCCCACCACATAAATTCAACTAGCAACTACCTAGAGGCAAGACAATTGCCCTGAATATGCCAGAAATTAGGAGTGAAGCTGTGACAACTCACTGAGCCACAGAGCCAAGAATAATCATGATCAGAGGGTAAAGAGAACGATTCTGTTTGCTCATGACACCCCTCCCCTAACCCACACAGCACCGCCCTTGGAGAACTTCTCTGGATTCACAGTTTCTACAGTGGGAAAAAGAGAGCAGGAGGTGGGCACTCGCCTTCCCCACTATTCTGAGATTCTTCACAGGGGGCACACTCTGGTCTTTTCCCACTGGAAGCATCGCAGGTGCCAGCGGGGTTAGCCTCCTAGGTGTAAATTAGAAACAAAGAACGGGGCGGGGCTCACAGCAGTCAACAAACAAATCAGAGCTGGTTGCAGGGAAACTGGGCTTAGGGCACCATTTGGCACTACAAGGGCTGTGGAGCTCACCGGCTTAAATACCAAAAAAGACAGTAAGCTTAGAATTTCTGGATAGACCTACTGTATAAGGACAATCACAGACAAAGCCAGATTGCAAAGACTGTTTATAAATACCTACATATTCAGTGCACAGATATCAGTGTACGACTACAAGGATGAAGAACAATCAGGGAAACGTGATGTCACCGAACAAAGCGCTAGTGACTGACTCTAAGGAAGCAGAGATATGTGATATTTCTGAGAGAATTCAAAATAGCTGTCTGAAGGAATAAAACTCACTGGTAAAAATAACTCAGGAACTGATAACCAAATGATGATGATGATTATGATGATGATGATGAAGAACAACCCAGAGGACTGGTTGAATTTGTTGCTCGAACCAGAGAAACACTGTCCTATTAGACGACACTATTTTATTGATTGATTGATTGATACTATTTTAAACAAATTGATTGGTAATTACTGTCAAGCAATTAAAGTCCTTTCTCCAGACACATATAAAGATGAAAGTTTTGCTCAAATTCAAGTGAGATTTAAAAGCTGAATTAAAAGCTATTCAAAAGCCAGATGATGCAGAAGTGGCTAGAGCAAACTCTAAGACATTTGCTTTTGTGCCTATGTCTTCTGCACAGTTTGAAATATCTCAAGATAATTTCAAAGAAAGTAAACACCTTCTTCACAAAGCTGTAAAACGTGGAGCAGTACCACTAGAAATGCTGCGAAGTGCCAAGCAGAATTGAAACCTCCAAGAAAACAGCTGCTTTCAGAGAAGGAAAAGAGTTTAATGGCATTGAGAATATTAACTACCCAAGAATCATTCTCTAGTTCATTGACCATTTACAGAATAGGAACATGCTGTTATTAGGCAATTAGGCAAGAGAAAGAAGAGGCATCCACATTGGAAAGGAGAAAGTTAAACTGTCCTTGTTTACAAATGACTTGATCGTTAACTATAGAAAATTTTTAAGGACTCCACCAAAAAACTATTCAAACTAAAAAACATTCAGTCAAGTTTCAGGATACAAAACCAACACACAAAAACTAGTATCATTTCTTTTCTTTTTTTTTTTTTTGAGACAAGATCTCATTCTGTTGTCTAGACTGAAGCGCAGTGTTGCAATCACAGCTCACTGAAGCCTCAACCTGCTGGGCTCAACCAATCCTCCCACCTCAGCCTCCCAAGTAGGTGGGACCACTGCACCTGGCTAACTTTTGTATTTTTTGTAGAGAAGGGGTTTTGCCATGTTGCCCAGGCTGGTCTCAAATTCTTGAGCTCAAGCAACCCACCTGCCTTGGCTTCCCAAAGTGCTGGGATTACAGCTATAAACTAGTATCATTTCTATATATTTATAGTGAACTAATTGAAAAAGAAATCAAGAAAATCCCATTTACAATAGCTACAAAAAAAATAGTAAAATACCTAGGAAGACATTGAACCATGGTGAAAAATCTCTAGGATAAAAACTATAAAACACTGATGAAAGAAACTGGAGACACAAATAAATGCAAAGTTATCCTGTGTTCATAGATTGAAAGAATTAATATTTCTTAAGTGTTCATACTCTCCAAAGCAATCTGCAGATTCAGCGCAATTCCTATCAAAATACCAATGACATTCTTCACAGAGACAGAAAAAAAAAATCCTAAAATTCATATGTAACCACAAAAGACCTTGAATAGCCACAGCAATCTTGAGCAAAAAGAACAAAGTTGGAGGCATCATAATACCTGACTTCAAAATATACCATAAAACTAAAGTTAAAAAACAGCATGGTTCTGGAATAAAAACAGACAGCTAGACCAGTGGAACAGAATAGAGAACCCAGGAATAGATCTACACATTTACAGCTAGCTGACATTCAACAAAGATGCCAAGAACACACATTTATTGAAAAGGAAGGACAGTCTTTCAATAAACAATGCTGGGAAAACTGAAAATCCACAAGCAGAATAATGAAATTAAACCCTTATCTCCCACCATATACATAAATCAACTCAAGCTGAATTAAAGACATAGATGAAGAACTGAAACTATGAAACTGCTAGAGGAAACACAGGAGAAATGCTTTATTACATTTGTACGGGCAAGAATTTTAAAAATAAGACTTCAAAAGCACAGAAAACAAAAGGAAACAATGGGTAAATCAAACTACATCAAACTAAAAAGCTTCTGCACAGCAAAGGAAACAAGCAACAGAGTGAAGAGACAACCTACAGATCGGGAGAAAATATTATATTTGTAAACTATACATCCGACAAAAGGTTAATATCCAAAATATATAAGGAACCCAAACAATAGTAAGAAAACAAATAAACCTATTTAAAAATGGGCAAAAGACCTGAATAGACTTCTCAAAAGAGAAGCAAATGGTCAATGGGTATATGAAAAAATGTTCAACATCACTAATCATCAGGAAAATGAAAATCAAAACCAAAATGAGATATCACCTCAGTCACCTCATACCAGTTAAAATGGTGATTGCCAAAAAGACAAAAGATTAGCTTTGTTTGGACGTTTATTTAAAAAAAGACAAAAGATAAGCGTTGGCAAGGATGTGGAGAAGAGGAAGCTTTTGTATGCTGTTGGAGGAAATGTAAATTAGTATACCCATTATGGCAAACAGTATGGAAGTTCTTTGAAATATTAAAAATAGAACTGCCATATGATCCAGCAATCCCACTACTGAGTATTTACCCAAAGGAAATGAAATCAGTACATCAAAAAGACATCTTCCCTCCCTGCAGCATTATTCACTATGGCGAAGATATGGAAGCAACCTCCGTGACCAACAGATGAATGGACCAACAAAATGGACATATACACAATGGAGTACTATTTAGCGATCAAAAAGAACGAAATCTTGTCATTTGCAACCATATTGTTGAATCCGTGGAAAACATTATGTTAAGTGAAATAAGCCGGGCACAGAAATACAGTGCATGATCTCACATTTAGAATCTAATGAGAAAATCTCACAGGAGAGAGTAGAATGGTGGTTAACAGATGCTTCGGTGTTTGGGAGCAGGGGAGAAGGGAGATAGTGGTCAAGAATATATAATTACAGTTGGATAAAAAGAATTGCTGGGTGTGGTGACTCATGCCTGTGAACCTAGCACTTTAGGAGGCTAAGGTGGGCAGATGGCTTGGGCCCAAGAGTTTGAGACCAGCCTGGGCAATGTGGCAAAACCTCATCTCTACAAAAAATACAGAAGTTAGTCGGGAGCAGTGGCACACACCTGTGGTTCCACCTACTTGGGAGGGTGAGGCGGGAGGATTACGTAAGCCCAGGGGTTTGAAAGTACAGTGAGATCTGATTGTATCACTGCACTCCAGCCTGGGGGACAGAGCCAGACCCTGTCTCCCCAAAGAAATGAAAACAAAAGCTAAAAACCAGAATAGGCAAATATGTAGAGACAGATACTAGACAAGCAATTGCCTGGGGCCAGGAGGTATATGGTGGGGGACAGCAGAATAAGTTAGGAGAGAAAAATGAAAAATGATTATTTGTGGTTAAAAAGTGTATTGGGTGATGGAAATGTTTTAAATTGATAGTGGTGATGGTTGCAAAACTCTGAAAACATACTAAAAACCACTAGATGGTATACTTTAAATGGGTGATTTGTGTGATATGTGAATTACATCTCAATAACACTTTTTAAAAAAGTACTGAATTGTATCTCTTCAAAATGATGGATGCTTTGCTCAACTGGCAATATACACCAAGAACGTGAATGTCGTTAAACACCTTTGCCTAGTGGTAGAACCACAATTCCAGCCCCAGGACTACTGTTGAGGCCACGTTCTAGGTCCCCAAGAGTGGGCTCCTTCACAACAGGCACAGTCCCTCACTATAAACTCAGCCTACAGACCTAATGGCTAAGCAGTTGGCTGCTGGACCAAGGAAGGGCTGGAGGAGGATGGCAGGGCTCTAATATGGCACAGAATGACATCAAAACTCAACTGAAGATGTGCCTACCGAAAGAATGTGGAGCCCTGAGCCGAGGACAGGCAAGACATGGGCCTGCCTTATTTGCCCTGGGGACAGTACTCCACAAACCACACAGTTCTTACAAATCACAGCCAGTGAAAGTATGTTTCAAAATCCAGAAAGCTATTTAAAAAAGATCTCCACACTTTGAGATGTTAGTCTAGAAATCGAGTTTTCAAATTATATTCATTCCTCTAAATGGATTAAATTGCTATGTCTTGACTTGACAAAATTTTACCTTGGTAGATCATTCAATGAGGCAGCACTGTGCCCTTCTCTAAGTCTGTGGTTTTGTACCAACCCGTTCCTATCATCATTTCTCACAGCTCTTTGAAGCGCAAAGAGGTGGAGGACTTGGTAGACACTAAGGAGCAAGTTGTGATAAGAATCAGAAACCGATCCCAGCTTCTTAAGTCCCAACCAAGGTTTCATTAGCCAAACTCTACACAGAGATAAAATCTTAAGCCATCCATTAAAATCTTCATGTGTATTTGATAATAAACATTGTGCAGAGCAATGGTTAAGTCACTAACACATTCTCTTTAACAGCAATTTCAGTTTTATAAAACTACTTTCAGATATTATTTCATTTTGTATCATGAATTTTAAGTTTTCTCACTGTAGCTGGAATTAATTTCATTATAAAGAGAGGAGAAAGGGTTTAAAAATTAAAATGGTAATTTTAAAATGTTAATTAAGCAAAATATTCCATCCTATGTAAACATGATTAAACATCAAAAGAACCATTCAAACACACTGGTTTTACCAAAAAACATGAAAAAGCCAAATAATAAATTTTCATTTTAGCTAATCTTCCATTTCCTCATCTTATTCTAAGCAACTTAGGTCTCAATTTTGTAATGTGACATTATGATAATGTTTATGGATGGGTGTGTGATGGCTAATGCCTGAAATCCCAGCACTTTGGGAGGCCCAGGTGGGTGGGTGGCTTGAGCCCAAGAGTTCAAGACCAGCAAAACAGTGAGACCCTGTCTCTAGAAAAAATTAAAAACTAGCTGGGTGTGGTGGCACACACCTGCGGTCCCAGCTAGTCAGGAGGCTGAGGTGGGAGGATGGCTTGAGCCAAGGAGGTCAAGGTGGTGACCCATGATTGTGGCATTGCACTCCAGTCTGAGTGACAGAAAGAGACCCTGTCTCAAATAAAACAAAGCAAGAAAACAAAAGATGTTGATCATGTCCACCTCCACAGGACAATGAGATGTAATTATAACAGGAAATATGATAGATATGTTTCTGGGAGAATGAGAACATCTACCAGTACCGAATCAGCTTTGATATTCAGAAACATCAAAGATATATGGTCTCATCACTTAACACAGATGATACCTTGTAAGTTTCGTTTGTTTCTACTCTAAGTAGAAGGGTCTTCTTTCCAGAATGACATATCCGATGCACTGTGGAAGAAAGAAATATAAGGAATTACAACCTAAAACCAAAACTGGCCCCAGGAAGAAACGAATTGGAACGGCAGAAAGAGCTAGCAGATAAGAGCTGTGTCGGCTGGGCCAGCTCTCCAGGCATCAGAAGGGGAGTGGGCCCAGGTGGGCTCGAGTTCTCAGCGAGAAAGAAAGAGACTCCAAATGCTGCACTGTGGCACCCCACAGTACTCTGAGTGACCAAGGTAGTGGCGGTGAGGTGACAGAGGCTTGCTGTCCTTTCTGTCCCTGGGCCCTGGGGGACAGGAGCAAGCTAAGTGAACACACTGAAATGCAAGACCGACTGTGCGGTACATGCCGTGCTGAGCTAGAGTCTCTGCCCGGAGGGAAAGCACCAAGCTCTCAGGCAACAGCTTTATGAATTCTGGCTACTACACCAAGTCTACTCAATACACGAGCATTTTCACAACATCAATGAGAAACTGTTATTTAAAGTCTGAGTAAATTCTAGCTTTTCTTTTTAATGTCTTAAAAACAAAACAAAACAGCCATGAACAACATGAAGTGATATGTTTATCCAACTGTGTGTCATTCAATCAATTTTTAGTTGAAATGTTAGAGAGGGATAAATAAGTACAGTGTGTCGATGTGCGGTGCTGTGAGGACACAGACCAGTGAGTGGGAACACAGCGTCTATGGCCTCTCCCATCCTGACAAAGTCTCTGTGTGCCAACTCCAACCACAGGGTGCTAGGACAGCGCAGGGATGAAATACTGAAGGGAGACGTCCTCATGAAGCAGATGGAAATGCACCATCTTGTTAGTCACAATATCTGGAAAGAGAAGAGCCGTGATGGTAGAGACCTAGTGCATGCACATTTTCATTCCCACTTTGCAGAGCAGCCTTCCCGGCCTCCACCTGCTTTAGGCGTCTGTCTTCCCTGAGGCAGCTACGGAGGCCACAGTCTCTTATTCTCACTGCCACAGCTGACGCTGCATCCCCGCCCCAGCACTGGTGGCTCCCTGCGGCGAGGAGAGGAAGAGTGAAACTGCCAAGCCCTTGGCAAAACACCCAGCAGGCTGGCTTCCTGGCAAACCAGATTTACCCACATCAGCGTCCTTCTGCGGGGAAGAGCAGATCCTCATCATTGAAAAGAGAACTGTGCTCAGAAGCGCTCAGAGCCACGATCCCCAAGCACCTGGGACAGGCTGTGTCACACACTGCTGCATGGGATGGACCCCTGCATCTCAACAGTCTTGCCAATCCTGTGAGGGCCACAGCCAGCCACTGTGCTGAGTAATGGCTAAAATCCAAGGCATCAGGCATACAACCAAGCAGGGAAGTAAAGAGCACGTGAGGGCGGGCAGGAGCATACAGTGTGACAACCACGGAGATCTCGGGGAGTTGCAGCACAGCAGCCAAGGAAAGCACTCCAGCAGATGCAAGTGAGTGACGAGAAACCATGCGTGAGCAGGCTGCAGAGGCCAATCCCAGGAGATGGGAGGTTGGGGAAAGGATGGAAAAGCACACGCAGGAAGACAAACGTTCTTTAGGAGAGGTAGTGCAAGGGCACGGGGAGGCAGAGACTGAGGGTGGCAGGACCTAGATAGAGGAGGGGACAACTGAGCCAGCACCTGGAGGAGGCTGACACAGACAGAAAATGAGCTTTGGAAAGTTAAGGAGAAGGTATGAGAAGTTCAACCTAGGGTTTTTTGTGCTACACTTGGGTACACCAAACTGAACGTTGAGAAGACATGTAACTTAGTCAAGCACCTTTGATAAGAACTGTGTTGACCAGCCTTGGATTCAGAAGGTCCCCCAAATGTCAAGTTCAAAGACTGATGTTGTGCAGCACAGGGGTCCCCCACATCCTATGTTTCCGCACTCTGCAGAGAGGAGGTGTATTTCACCCTCTCACCATTTAGTGTGCTTGTCAGGACCAAGGGTCTGGGCATTGTATAGGAGCTTGTGAGAAATGCAGCCATGAGGCCCAGCCCAAACTATGAACACAAAGTCTGCTTTACCAGACCTCCAGGTGACCCCCATGCACATCAAGGTTCTGAGAAGCATCTTTAAGGACCCTGCACTACCACACAGCTCCCACTATGCTCAGCCCTAGAAATATGACACCATCTATGTCAAAGTTCCTTAAAATGCAGCACAGGTGCCTCACCCTAAAACTCCCGATGATCTGGGCTAGCCTAGCTTTTCCATCTCTAACCTAAAGCTGCTCCTCTGGTGATATCTCCCTCTGCGCCCATCACTCCAATTGATGCCCTCCCCAATTCCCAAACACCCATTGCCCCTCCCATGGTCTCTTCTGATTCTCTTCATGTCTCATTCAAAAGGGCTGGTCCTTGACATTGCCACCCAGAATATTCTGTTCCTTCTCTACAGCACACTGCAGATCCGAAGGGGATGAGGTGCAGTATGGGGCCAACCTCCCTCTCAGCTCAGCCTGGGAGCTATTCTACCAAATGTGGAACTTCAAATGCAGGCTGCAGTTTCTTTTAGGTTGCTGTGATTCTAGTAGTAAGGCAAAAAAAAATGCCTTGAAAAGCTCTTGGTAGGCAATGCCTTTCTCATGTGTGGTCAGCAGATGAAGAGGGCCGGAGCAGGTGTGTGACTGCAGAAGATGGGGCCCAGCCAGAATCAAGAGGCAACATTTAGCAACCAGCAGCTGAGGGACAGATAGCGGGCAGCAAGCACAGACCAGCACAGCCACAGAAAGGAAACAAGACATCACAAGGGAAAACTCAAATCCAAGCAAAACCATGTCTGGGGCTCTGAGTAGGTAAAATGAGATGACCATGGAGAAGGTGGGATGATCAGCACCCATCCTCCTGACAGTGCCTCCAGGTATGCTGGCCAAATGAGGCAGCACACAACCCACCTACCAACCAGTGTGGCTGCAGGTTTTCGGCCATAACAGAGTGCCCAGGGATTGTTTCTCTGCTGCCACCTTTAGGTCCTTTGGAATCCAGGAAAATCTAAAATACCCGACTGTCCTATGAAGCTAAAGTCTACATAATTGAGCTTTTTTTTTCTTGCATTTATGAGACTATATGTAATCTGTTAGACTCGAGTTGACAGAATTATTTAAAATATGAAAAATAAAAGAGAAGCAAACTCACTGCATAAGGCCTTTGTGGGATTTACTTGTTGTCCAGCAAGAAACTGTAGGAGCTTCCTAATATCTATGTGTACTTCAGCCATGTGTTCTGGGTTTCTGTCTTGAGAGGTGCTTTCAGAGGCTAAAATGACAGGAATGCTTTTAAAGACAACATCTTTACACATATCAGGAAACCTGGAGATGCTCAATGCATTTTACCTAAATAAATGATTCACCTTAGCACTGGTTTTACCATCCTAGAGAAAATTGTAAATGTTGTCATTCATTAAGCATTAGGTCCTAACTATTTAAACTACTATGATCATTTCCAGGGCCTCTTTATTTACAGGGGACTTGAAATATGACTCAATCTCCCTCTTTAGGTCAAAGAAAATTATATTTATTAGTACTCACTATGTATTTAAGAGTAAAAATATATACATTAATTAATACAGGGCCTGTAATTCCAAAGTGAAATTAAAAAAAAAAAAAAAAGAAAACATCCTTTCAACTTCTGAGAAAGTACCACAGTTAAGTCCCATCTTGTGTTTATTAAAATAAACAAATGAATGACATCAGAATGAATCACTTTATACAATATTATCACAGCCTTAACCATATGGATTCCACGCTGCTGAAATAGGATACTCTTAACTAGAAAATAAAAGTTCCTTGCAACTCTGTGCTAAAGTCTGTGTTTACATTCAAGCAAACCTGTAGTAACTTAATTCTAAAACTGACTAGGGCCTGTTTTTTGCTTCTGGAACACCTTGTATCATAAAATGACTTTCTCATCATCCATAGGAGTTTCTCTTGTGGTCTTTTGCCTGCTTTCCTGATCAGGCAGCCCCTGGGACTGTACAGCGGCCCAATTTCCAGCCATGATTCCAACCCCATCTTGGCTTATGACGCACCAAACTGTCTAATCGTCCTTTCTTTCCCCACCTACTGAACTGACTCCATCATCCCTAATTACCTTGTATGAGATGAGAAATGTGATCAAGTAAAACAGTCTTAAATCTGCTACACTAACTTCATACATACGGAAGGAACTAAAGGAGAATATAAGAACAAGTGTATCAACCCTTCTGAATCCATTCCAGTTAGGCGTAGAACAGGAATTGAAGAGCTGGAAGGGATCTTGGAGGTTATTCAACTTGAACTGAATTCTACAGAGGACAGAGACCCTGTATAGATCCCTTAGCTACTTGGTGGCACAGCCCCTCCCCCTGGTGGCTAACTGTCCCACTACGCTACAGTGATGCGTAGTCCAATCTCAATTCCTTTGTTATTTCCCCAAGCATGAAACAAAGTAAACTGAATTTCAACCTTTTTACATGAGGAGACCTCAATAGGTAGGTTATCTGAAACAAGTTACCAAAAGCAAAATATAACCCATTAGAAAACTTACCTAATGGAGGATTTCCAAGATCTTTAAAATGAGTTGTAACACATACTAATTCAGTTTCTATTTTCAAATTCAATTCTCCATCTCGGTTTGCTTCAACAACCTGCAAATTAAGTATTTTACATAGTCTTAAAAAAGGAAGACAAAAGGAAAAAACTCCATGGGCAGCAGCTTTCATGCAACCAGATCACAAAGTAACCTACAAAACCTCAAAACACCTCAGAGCACACTCAGACCCATGTGGTATCAGCAAAAGAGAGAAGATAAGGCCTAAGAGCCTAGAACTCAGAAATCTCCCAAAAATCTTAAAGGGGAAATCCCCTGCCTGCCTCCCGAAATGGAGAACTCAGTGAAGATGTGAAAACAGGTGGAACTCAGAAGGACTTGCCAGGAGACTACAGGAGCACAAGAGCAGCTCAAGGGAGGGCTGGGTGGAGCTGATGAGTGGGAGAGTCCTGCACTGAGAAGGAACCACAGAAGTAAGAGCCTCAATTGAGCAGAATGGGCATGTCGGGCAAAAAAAGGGAATGAAACTTTAAATGATGGAAAAAGAGGGACAGATCTCAGAAAGTCCTGGGAAGTGGAGAGGATGCATGTTTTAATATTTTGTGGTAACAAAAAATGGAGAATTCTAGAGTCACAAAGTTAGAAAACTATTCTGGTCCACTCCCACTCCAACATTGAAACTTCCTCTTAAAAGAACCAGGAAAACCACCTACAACAGCAACAAAAATGGATTGTGGTCGACTTCCGTATGATATTCGGAAAAAAGAAAAGCAGAAATTGTAATACCTAAATAGCACACTTAGAAACCTAAAGGCACTCTGCAAACTAGATGCAGAGTATAGCCTATTATTTCAAGACCAACTAAAAGAAATGAACAGTGATAGAAGCTATGAAAGAACAACATAAATCTGAAGCAGGAAAGCTCAGACATGAGATGACCACACAGCATGCACATATGAAAACACAGCCGACAACACAGGAAGTAATTAGAAATTTAAGAAAAAATTTCAGAAACAGAAACTAGTTTAGAAGGAAGAAGACTGGAGCAAACAGGCATTACAGAGAGAATAGTAAGAGAAACTGGGATGGAAAGGAGAAAAATAAAATTTAACAAACAAAAAAAGACATAAAATGGATTTGGCAGAAAATAATAAAGAAGATGGTGAAGAAGACCCAAGCCCTCTGAGTCCCAGAAAAAAAAAAAAAAAAAAGCACTGGAAAAGAAATGCTGTCCACTATAGCTGAAAACGTTCCTGAAGTGAATGAAGTGTTGGGCCCACATACTGAAAGGACACACCACACCTGGGAAAACTGACCTTGGATGCCAAGACAACTGGATTTTTTAAAAATGGAAAAAATACCGATGGTATTTAGTCCCCACCTTTAAGTAAATAAATCCAAGCTGTGAAACAAAATCAGAATGGAATCATCTTTTTGATAGCAATAATCTACACCAGCAGAGAATGCAGTACAGTGAGCCATACTGACATCGAACCCGTGACAGCCAATGAAATCCTATTCCCGTGAGTCCTTCCTGAGTGATACGCTAGAGAATAAGCTTTTGATAACAAAAAAAAAAGATTGGAGAAGTTACAGCATAAACAGTATGAGCCTTATTTTGATCTGTAGAACCAAAACTAAACAACAGGAGTGAAGGGGACAGAACACGTAATAATTTTATGCTTCGATGATGTAGATATAATATAACTATTACAAAACAGGAAAGGGGAAAATGAGAAAAGAATGTGAAAATTAGTGTCCTATTTTTATAAAATATAAATAAACCAGCTGTTATAACTACACATTTAATGTGACTATAAGGCCTTTAGAATCTCATGGGAACATAGCTATTTATTTAGAAAATAAACTCATGTTGGAAAATGAAATTTCCAAATTCAGAAAGGTCTGGGGCTGCTGTCGGGTTACCAGGACTGAGGATGTCTGAGCCAAACTCCACACACCCAGGCTACCAGACTTCTGCCTCTCCCTCACATACCATCGGACACCCCTCTTCTACTCCTGCTCTTGCTGCCCTGGGACTGTCTCCACAGGTCACAGGGGGCTCCTTTCCTTTGAAGCTCTTCTCTACCCACCCCAGCAACCAATCAGTTCTTTTAATTGGACGGAACCTATAAATGAAGCATATGCCAGTGTGGTTTGAGGTTATGCTAACCTATCTGGGTCCAATCCCATACCTACAATGAGAGTTCCTCCTGAAAGAACCAGTACATATTATTTCTCTTTATGCTGTTGCTATCTGCCCAGTATTAAAGCCTAAGAGGTCTTTGGAAAGCCTGTGTGTGGTCCGCTAGACAAGTGCCACCTAGTATCTAGTCTTACTTAGGACCATTGCATCCTCATTGTGCCACAGAGAAAAAACAGAGAGGGCACCTGTCTTCACAGCTCTGTATCACTGTCCACGTTTACTGAATACAATGTAGTCTTCCTTGTTCTTATTCCTTAAAATTGGTGGACTCTGAATATTTTTCATTCCAGAAACAAAATAAAGTTTTTCTAACTTGAGTGAGCTCTTATTTCTGAGTTTTTGACATTAATAAAAAAATAGTGCCCCAAACTTACTTGTTGTATAATCTAGTACATTAACCTTTGAATGAGAAATATTCATTTTTAACCCTTTTCTTTCATTAATCCAAAAATATACTGTTATATTTCCACTTCCTATATCTAGAACAATAGGTGACTGAAATAAAATATATAAAACAATCTTTGTGAATATGCTGGACTGCTTACTGGAGCTCTGTAAGGCTAACACAGGACTTATGCTCATTTGTTGTAAACAACCACACACCCAAGATCTGTAAATTCCCACTGTTTTGAAAAACAATGTTTTAGATATAAATAAATAAATACGTACTCAAAAATGCAACTTGCAATGGTCCTAGATGCACTTTAGGCTTAAATACTCTCTTGCGTTTTCTTCCAATTCCTAAAAATCTCAGTGACAGAACATTAGGTTCCAACTCCCTCCTAACCAGACCTGGTGTCCAGCACATGGTGGCCTTAAATCAATACTTATTGAAGAAACGAACAAACAACTAATTCTCTGAACACTGCTCATGTCTATTTTTATGATTCAGTTATTTGGAATATTATGCATATCAACACACTTGATTTCTTAAGTATCTGGGTAAGATTTTCAATGATTTCCTTAATAACAGTCACCTATTGTTTATTGAATGCTGACTATACTGGGCACCTAATAAAAATTATCTCTAAATTTATAAAAAGTAACAAAGCCCTGTCACAGCTGCACTGTTATCCGCATTTGGGGTAGTATCCAGCACTGGGCACTCACTGCACAGCACAGCCTGGAGCTAAACCCAGGTGTGTGGCTCCAATGATTCCCCTCTTCCACAGCATGACTCCTAAACCTAGACTCTCTGGGTTTCCATCATTAAGGTGACCCTGCAAAGCTCTATTTCTCAGATAACATTTGAAATACAATAAAGTATAGCACTGATACGGTTTGTTTTGGCTCTGTACCTTCACCCAAATCTCATCCCAAACTGTAATCCCCAACTGTCGAGGAAGGGACCTGGTGGTAGGAGACTGGAACATGAGGGCAGTTTCCCCTATGCTGTTCTCATGATACTGATGGAGTTCTCATGAAATCTGATGGTTTTAAAAGTGGCAGATTTTCCTGTGCTCTTCTCTCTCCAGCTGCCACGTAAGACGTGCCTTGCTTCCCCTTTGCCTTCTGGCATGATTGTAAGTTTCCTGAGGCCTCCTCAGCTATACAGAATTACAAATCAATTAAACCTCTTTTGTTTATAAATTACCTGGTCTCAGGTAACATCTTTCATAGCAGTGTGAAAACGGAGTAATATAGGCGCACATCACAAAGCACTGCTACTTGATATGGTCTGAGGATAGGCAGCATGGACATCCTCCAGGAGCTGGTCAGAAACAGAGCCTCAGGCTCCAGCTCAGACCTCCCAAATCAGAACCTGCACTTTAACCAGATCCCAGCGGATTCACACACACGGAGGAGTTTAGAAGCAATGTCTTAAAACACAATGTAGATTCCTTCAGTTCTTACTTCTTTTTCTGTTCCTGCAGGAGTCACATACACAACCCACCCCATCAGTCACATCTCACATTTAATGAAAGAAGGAAGTGATTGAGCATCTCTCATTGGAAGGTGGACATTTTTAGTATGTTTGGTCTACCCATTCTCCTTACTTCTATTGCCTATTCAGATATAGAAGTCTGGATACCCAGGAAGACCTCATTAAGTACTTTGCTACAGTAACTTGATAACTTTCCATTTAGTAATTCCAGATTGTAGTAGCCACTCCACAAAATTTCTACATATTTTTAACTCCAAAAAAGAGAAAACAAAACCCCTCTAATGATTCTAAGCTACCCTTCTACCTCTCTACTTTGCTGACTCATTTCCATTGAACAGAAAGAACAAACAAATGCCATCCTTCAGTTAACTGCCCTGTCTTTTCTCTCCTGGGCCTCTCTGAATTTCTCTGGAAGTCCCCAGGGTATCCCTAGATGAAGCCAGGCTGACAACTGGATCAACATCGCTGCAGTCACAGGCAAAACCAATGTCTGCACAGTGCATACTGCTTCATGGAAAACAGATTTCAAATTAAAATGAGCTCTATATAAAGTTATGAAGGTAAAGCTTTGAGTTAGACAGGCCCAATGATAGCATTGCTCTTAGTGAGAAGAATTCTAGAAAAAAACAGCTCAATGCACATTTTCTGGGCTTCAAAAAACTTTTGTGATTTCAAAGACCTCTTGAACCTAATTTCGTTCCAGATCCATGTAACACTTATTGCTGCCTACTGCGTGGCAATCCCACACTGGGTAGCTGGGACACAAAGATGATTAAGACAGGGTTTTCCTTATCAAGAAGCCGGTGGTTCAGGAGACATTCTGAGATACTAGCAGGTGATTTATCATGTACACTGGACAGCTCACCTCCATGGAGGAGGCACTTCCAGAGGGGTGATGGGGAAAGGTCTGTGAGGAAGCATAAGAATGGCTAAGTGCCTTCAGGGAGATGGAGAGAAGAAGCCATGTGCCAAATGGCAAAGAAAGTGAACCAAAAGGAAGAGGCAGTGTGGGGGGATACCAGAACCCAGCCTAGTTCTGCAGGGAGCGTGTGGCAACAGAACAGAATGTGGCTACAGAGGTGGCCTGGCACACTATGAAGATCAAAAGTTTATGCTTCATCAGGTGGACAGTGGTTTTTAAAAGATTCAGGGACATAACCAAGTGTGTTTTTTGGGGTGGGAGTGAGCAGGGGGTGGGGCGGTAAGCGAAGGAAGAATTCAGAATAACCCCAGGTGTGAATTAGGATAATCCACACAACTCCCACCACTGTCACACATTTTGAGCCTTGTGGCCATAGGAGATTTTCACAAAATAAACAGAAACATAAAAGTGCCCTCCAGCTTGGCGTGAGAGCTGCCTGGAATAAAGGGTGCTATGGTGTGGCAAATCATTGTCCCTGGTTCACTGAAAGACACATGACATGCAGATAGGACACTCCAAACTCACTGTCAATAGTATCAGTGACTCACAGTAAAATACAGGCACACTAGCAGGTTAAAAAAAACAATGTTCCATCCGAAATAAGAGGAAAAAGAGGCAGAACAGCTGAACAGATTCTTAATATACTATAAATATAAATAAAAGGGATTAAAGGCAAATATAAAAGCTTTCCTCAGTGAATGAGAGTTGAAAAGTATTAAAATAGGTTTCTAAATCCAACTAGCAATCTATCTGCAAGTTCTCAACACCAGCCAGGACCTCCTGAGTGGGAACTTGGTTAGGAGGTGACTGCCTGCATGGACCACTGCACGGTGAGCACCCACACCTCAGCCCACAGGGAAGCTGCCTCCCAGAGTGTGTAGCCACGTAGCCCCACTCAATACTTCAGAGTTATTTTCTAAAGAAGTTGTAACTTACAAGGTGACTGCTGATGTTTTTCATTTTTTCCACAACACTCTTCATAGTCTTCAAGACTGGTAAATAAATACTAACCTATAAAACCAATAAGAAAACCAGTATTAAAAATATTAATATACTCTAGTAAGGACAAGTGTTCCATAACTAACTCTGGAACACATGCATGCTCAAAAACTACAGAGTACTATTTTAAAATTTTCTGAAATAAAGTTCTTTTAAAAATATAAGAAGAAAATCAATTCTATTTCACTATCTCATGGATGCTCAAGCAAAATCAAAGAATGGAATGCCTGACTCTGGTTCCCTCAGCAACCATGTCCCTGTGGGCATTCTTCTGGTTCAAGAAGGAATAGGGTACTTCGGCTGAGATGCTCCTGTATTGGTCTAGGGGGAAGAAAACTCAGGCACACAGCAGGAGGCCTTCCTCTAAGGGACATTTACACCTAGGATTCAGGGGCCTTTTCCATGCTCTGTGCAAAAATACGGCAAGCAGTCACCCAATCATACTCGAGTCTGTTAGCAAGTGTGCTCTATAAAACACGGGCTTTTTCAAAATCAGCATAGATCCCTTCGAGTAAAAGTCAAGTAATTATTTTACCCAGCATAATTTTGTAATTTCTTAAGTAAATTGTGAGCAAGAGGCAAGGGGTCCTTTGGCATCATCTTTACTTTCAGGGGCTCTAGGGTTAACCATCAGCATGACTGTTAACCCAAAACCTAAGCCATGAAACTCCTCTCTCCTTGGCTTTTGTGCACATCCAGATGCTGCTTCTGACAGGCTGAGGAAAAGATCAAGTCCTGCGAAACCCATATTGGTGCTGAAGGCCAAGAATACTAACAAATACTAATTGTCCGCCAACAGATCATTTCAGTTTTGTTTTGTTTAAGTGATGTTACTGAGTGAGACATTTTCCACATATAGGACAGCATGGCATTTCTGTCATATGCAACATGTCCTAAGATGCTTTATGTAAATATCGAAAGGCAAATATTCTAATGTTTTCCTTATGTATCCTTTAAAAATAAAATATACTGCAAGACTACAACTAAAATCAGAGAATTCTAGTCATGCCATGTAATGTGGGGTGTACAACAGGACTGCATCACTTACATCGGGATCTGGGACCATCGGTTCTTGTAAGTCCTTCCACAATTTCCTAGGAATAACCTTTATGGGGATGTCATGTGTCGCAATGCGGGTACTGCTTGACATAGAAAACTGCCAAGAAAAGAATTAATCTTTTATGTTAATATTAACAACAAAACAAACCCAAAGACCCGAGGATAAAAAAGTTGAAACGACAAACCTAAGTGGAATGTTGTCAATTTATTCACTCAAAAGCCATTCGACCAGTATTTATGACACGTACTCAGGGTACTTTCAGGAACCGGGAAGTGTGGTGAATGAGACAAAAAGGTCCCCAGTGTTCCAGTGGAACAAACAGATCAATAAAAAGGCAAACGATTGAAATTATATCAAACGCTCATTAGAGCCATGAGACAGCACAGCACGGTGACCAGGGTGAGTGTGGGGGGCTTCCTTAGACTGGGGAGGCGACATTCCAGATACCACCAAAGCCGGGAGGAGTAGCATCCACGGGAAGACAGGAACAAGGGGACAGTGTTTCAGGCTGGGGAAATAGCATATGGAAAGCCGTGAGGCAGAAAGAAGCAAGCCTGCTATGTTGAGGCAACTGAGAAGGCCATTCTTTGGGCATAGGACACTCAGTGTGTTGCAGTTTCTAAACAGTTAAAATGCAAACTGTATTTTTCTATTTCTAGGGGCGACTATGAGAGTCACAGACCAAAAGATTTTGCACTTTTAGATAGAAAAGTATTACATGTTACTATCTTGCTTTTCCTTAAGCAATAGAAAAACATACCAAACTTATATCGTGACATGAAATACCCTAATTAGCTCTAAGAACTGCCTGATTGCAAAAAGTTGAGACTTATGAAGAAAAGCTGAGGAATCCTTTTCCACGGAAAGCTTGAAACTAAATATAATACTCACCCATAGATGGATAAAGTATATATAATGGCAAAAACCACAATTACCATTGCACCAACTGAATACAATATATAAGGAGAGCTGTAAGAGAACAGAAGACTGGGGCAAGGGCAGCATTGGCGACGAGCACTAAATGAAGAGAAGGTTTCAGAGTGAGAAGGAAATAAACTGCAAGTGGAAGCCCAATATCACCAAAGCCTGGGAGTTCAGAAAGAATGAGACACATCTAGGGAAAGCACTCAGGGGATCACAGTTTATAATTTGGTCCCTAAGATGGATTGGGCCATATGTGAAGGGCTTTGGTCATGTTAAGAAACATGAACTTCAGGCCAGGCGCGTGGCTTATGCCTGTAATCCTAGCACTTTGGGAGACCAAGGTGGGTGGATCACCTCAGGTCAGGAGTTTGAGATGAGCCTGGCCAACATGGCAAAACGCTGTCTCTACTAAAAACACAAAAAATTAGCCAGGCATGGTGGCGGGCACCTATGATACCAACCACACAGGAAGCTGAGGCAGGAGAATTGCTTGAACCTGGGGGATGGAGATTGCAGTGAGCTGAGATCGCACCACTTCACACCAGCCTGGGCGAAAGAGCAAAACTCCATCTCAAAAACAAAACAAAACAAATCAAAACAGAAATACGAACTTCATCCTGTGAGTAGGAAGAGCAACTCTGTGTTGTATGTGTACACATGAGTTTGTGTATTTGTGTGTTTGGGGGACAGCTGTGCACTCAATTCATCTGGCAGGAGCATACAAAACACAGGTGTACTGAAGAATGAGGGCCCATTAAAGGCAGGGTGGGAGTGAAGAGAAAACATGCCAAAGACGAAAATCGATTGAAATCATGATTTCTAGACAAGGTGACAACACCACTACAAGAAATAAAGAGGCTGGAAGTTTTATGACTTGTAAAAGGCAGCATTCTAGCTGAATGCATATGATCACAACACTATAAAATGAGGAGGAACTGACTCTAATGCAAAATATAGTTATGGACCAGATCTTTAAATTTAAATAAGCCAAGTAGTTTTCAACAATATTTATTGTTATAAAGGCTAGGCTAACTATGTCTATTCCTTCGAGGCCAAGATTTCCGTGGGAAATTTCAGAAACCCTGACTCTCCTACTCACCAGCTCCACGGAGACTGTGAGGCAGGGAAAGTGTTTATTAGTCAGTTTGATTTTCAAGGCTCTGGCATTCTGGGCAGTTTTCAAGGCTCGTGATAAGTTTTCCGATGTTAGCTCTAAATAAATCTCGTTGTTTTCTGCAGAGAAACCCTCCATTTGAAATTCGCTGAAGAAGTTCTCCTAAAGGAAAAAAAATGGGGGATGAGGGAGGGCATTTGTGGTCTTTCCAATGACAATCTGTAGCGTGTGCAGGCCTCTCAGAAGCTTTTGCTCACCTGTTCCAGCTCACACCACATGCTCACCCCTCCATTAGCCAGCTTGTCACAAAGGATGAAGTTAAGCTTGTCAGGGCTGATGCGGAGGGTACAGGTTTTGGCAAGCTTGGCTATCATGTTACTGATTCCTAAAGCAGGAGTTAAAATAAGGAATTACTAAAATGCACATCATGTATCCTAGACACCAACTTATTTTGCACAATTTCTTGTTCATCATGGTGCAACTTCCCGGTGAAAAACATAACGACTTACGTTTGTATCACACTGGAAAGTACTTTAATACCTCTGATGTCATGCAATTCTCCCAACAAACCCAGGGAGACGTACAGCACACATCTTCAGTGTCCTACCAGTCATTCATTCATTCAACATAAACTTACTGACTACTGGATACTGCAACAGAGTTGAATGCAAAGTTAGGCACTGTCAGGGGGGAGGGACGAATGGAGCCTTCAAGGAATGTCAAAGCCTGATAAAGCCGTCTAGGGGAGCAGTGGCCGCTTTTTTAAAAAGCCACGTGATCAGAATCAAGTTTCAGAAACGTCTCTTGAAAGCTGCCTTCATCCCTACAAGTCCCTACGGCCCACCCCGCGCCCTCCCGCGGCTTCCATAAGCACCCCCATCCCGGACCCCATCCTCCAGCGGCCCCTTCCTGCGCCCATCCCCGCTCTGATCCTCCCCCGCGGTCCCCACCGCGCGCTCACTGCCTTTTTCCGTTCCTCCCTCGCTCCCCTCGGGCCTCCTTGCTCACGTGTGAAGTGGTTCAGACAGGCCCCGTCCACTATCTTGCCCCGAAACTTCATTGCTGCGCGGCAGGGTCTATGGGTAGCGGATAAGTGTCTCACCCTGAGCGTCCCCGCCCGGAAACAGGGCGGCGCGCACAGTGGTTCCGCCCGACTAGGGCTACGCGGCTCTTAGCAGAGTAGCCTCCGGGCCACGCCCCGGGGAAGGTGGGGCCACGGGTCACGCCCCACTGGAGGTGGGGTCACAGGTCAAGGATCTCGGGTCACGCCCTGGGGGAGGTGGGGTCCCAGTTACTGGGTTTGCCTCCTTGCTCCGGCGTGATGGTGGGATCTGCTTTTTGTGAGGCAGAGGCTTCAAGCTCCTGATGTGGGGACGGGTTCTGAGAATTCACGTTTTGAAAGAATTTTGTGACACCTATTTCAAGTTCTATTCTAAAATATCCAAATAAAATTAATCGTCTATAAAGGTTAAACAATACTATCTCTTAAATATGTCTCTCTAAGGTAGAGCAGCTTTAAACTCTCCAATCTCAGATGACGGTACCGGTACTTCGGTATTGAAGCATCTTGGTTAAGGTTCTGAAAATCGTTTTAAATGACTTTTTAAAAAAATGGAACATATTACTGGCTAGTTGGTAAAGGCAAGATGCTTAAAGAACACTGACGTTAAGTGATAATTCTGCAGTTTGTCTCAAGACGAACTTTACTACCTCCAATAAAATTCTTATTAGCATAAGTAACGTCAGTAGGATTTTTTTTAAGGAAATAAATTTTAAAGGGGGTAATGCAGCAAGCAACACTGTATCTAATTTGCTTTTTCAAAGCCTGAAGATCATTTATGTTAATAATTGTTATTTTTAATGCCCTTTGCAAATAGGAGCCTAGAACCTTGTCTTTAACTTGACATATAAAATCAAGATAATTATAAAGGAGATTATTATTATTATTATTATTATTGAGATAGAGTCTCACTCAGTCCCCCAGTCTGGAGTGCAACGGCTTGATCTTGGCTTACTGCAACCTCTGCCTCTGGGTTCAAGTGATTCTCCTGCTTCGGCCTCCCAAGTAGCTGGGATTACAAGCATGTGCCACCACGCCGGGCTAATTTTTGTATTATTAGTAGAGATGGGGTTTCACCAGGTTGGCCAGGCTGGTCTCCAACTCCTGACCTCAGGTGGTCCAACCGCCTCAGCCTCCCAAAGTGCTGGGATTACAAGGCGAGAGCCAATGTGCCAGGCCTAGATTATTTTTAAAGTGCAAAATACAAAATTTGCAGTTTTTGCCTATCTTAAGACCATAACATGAAGCTAAATTCTACTCTTCATTGTCACATGCGAGTGTTTGTCAAACCAAACTTCATATATCAATTTCAAAGTTATGCCAATAGGCCAGGCACAGTGGCTCACTCCTACAATCTCATTCTGGGAGGCAGAGTTGGGTGGATCACCTGAGTTAAGGAGTTTGAGACAAGATGCCTAAACAGCCTGGCCAACATGGTGAAACCCCATCTCTACTAAAAAATACAAAAATTAGCCAGACATGGTAGCAGACACTTGTAATCCCAGCTACTCAGGAGTCTGAGGCAGGAGAATTGCTTGAACCTGGGAGGCAGAGATTTCAGTGAGCTGAGATCAGCCACTGTGCTCCAGCCTAGGCAACAAACCGAGACCCAGTCTCAACAAGTAAATAAATAATAAAGTTGTGCCAACATTTTTTATTTGCGCCGTATGATCTGCAGGAAAAAAGCATGTTTTTAAAATTTCTTCATAAATGTATTTTGAAGAATTGAGCATCACATTAAGTAAGGTGGCTGCCGATAGATAAATGAATATAATTAAAGAATATATTTAAATAAACTTTGTAAATAGTATTTTGTAACAGCTTGATCTTTCCTGGAAATTGCTTTATTTTGTCAAACTTCCTAAGAAGATGTGATTCTATACATTCTGCATTGACAAACACCCAAATAATATAGGAATTTGATTCAAGAAATAGAAAATAAAGTTGCAGTTATCTTTTCTTGGAAGAAGAAAGAAATATTTTATGTGTTCTTGTAAGATTCTTAAATAGGTTTAGCAAATTAATTCAGTAACTCCAGAATTGACAATTAAATATATTGACACTACTTCTCTACTTTCCAAATGATTTTGGGAGAAGGAATGTGATCTCTAGAGATTTCTAGAAGCCCCATGTACCACTGAGTTTTCTAATGTGATCTCTAGAGATTTCTAGAAGCCCCATGTACCACTGAGTTTTCTAACGCAATGTGTATTCATGTTCTTGTCGAGCTATAGAAAATAGCCTTCTGATTTAAGAACGGCCAAACCTCAGGGGTTAGTTACTTAGCCACACAATGATCTGGGAAACGGTGTTGACGCTGTTCATTAAGTTTGTTTACTGGGGAGGTAAATGCCTTAATCTTGTCTTAGAAACTGAATTACACAGTGATGCAAATAAAATGTCAGTCAGGATGTATAGTTGGAAGTAAGGAAAATAACCTCTCTACAGCTGCAGATGGTCAACTCTATCTAGGTAAGCACTTGGCCAGTGTCTTTCAGGTACTTCCTCATCTTCTCTAGTCCCTAGGGGAAGAGGCAACAATTTGCAGCCCTGTTGTTAGCAGTGAAGGTCGGAAAAATCACCCAAGGGAAAGAACGTGATATAGCTCAGATGTTCCGCACCAAATTTGAAAGGTAGTATTTGTCTTCTTTTTTTAACATGAGAAAACTGTAAAATGAAGGAAAGTATACCCTGGAGTGGCAAGAGTGAATGTTTTTTAAGAATTGTACTTGTTTTAAAAGATGGGTTTTTGCTTAAGCAGCTCTTCAAAGACTCTGCTCATCTTTCAGGTGTCAAAAAAAAATACTTGAATAAATTCCATAGATACTTTTAAAATGAACATTTGTGGAGTACAAGAGAAGTGTCAGGCATGGTGGTGAGTGACGGGGATTAAAGCAGGGGACCACCCCACTCAAGAGGAGGGGGATCAACATTTGTTGGATGCCTTTTATGTTTCATTTTAAAAGCACTATTTAAACATTATTGATCAGTAGGCTGAGATAGCTAGCTGTCATTTTATAGCACTGTACACTGATATCATCACTTACATAGCATAAACAACCATAAAATAAGCACTACTATTCTCATTTTATTTTATTTGAGATGGAGTCTTGCTCTTGTTGCCGAGGCTGGAGTGCAATGACGCAGTCTTGGCTCGCTGCAACCTCTCAGTCCTGGGTTCCATCAATTCTCCTGCCTCAGCCCCTCAAGTAGCTGGGATTACAGGCACCTGCCACCACACCCGACCAGTTTTTTGTATTTTTAGTAGAGATGGGGTTTCACCATGTTGGCTATGCTGCTCTCAAACTCCTGACCTCAGGTGATCTGCCTGCCTTGGCCTCCCAAAGTGTTGGGACTACAGGCGTGAGCCACCATGCTCAGCCTATTTTTTCCACTTTAAAGATAGGGACAGAGATAATTGGAAGTGGAAGTTGGCCGTGGCATACCCTACCTCACACTCTTGATGAGAATCTGCATCACTGGATTGCTGAGAGTCCAGTGACCCACATGTTCCTGTTGACTGGACCAGCTTTATTTACACTTGACCTTCAGGAAAACAATTGATAATGTGGAAAGAAATTAAGACCAGGGGCCGGGTGCGGTGGCTCAAGCCTGTAATCCCAGAACTTTGGGAGGCCGAAACGGGCTGATCATGAGGTCAAGAGATCGAGACCATCCTGGCCAACATGGTGAAACCCCATCTCTGCTAAAAATACAAAAAATTAGCTGGGCGTGGTGGCGTGTGCCTGTAGTCCCAGCTACTCGGGAGGCTAAGGCAGGAGAATTGCTTGAATCTGGGAGGCAGAGGGTGCAGTGAGCCGAGATTGTGCAGTGAGCCGAGATTGTGCCACTGCACTCCAGCCTGGCGCCTGGCAACAGAGTGAGACTTGTCTCAAAAAAAAAAAAAAAAAAGAAAGGAAGAAAGAAAAAGAAATGACAACCAACCAAATAGAACAGGCAAAGCCTATTTATTCAGAGTCAGCCATCATCACTTGCATTTTGGCAGAGACTCAAAGGCAGGCAGAGGAGAGGAATGCTTTATAGTGGAAAAGGGAAGGCTCGGGTGAGCCCTGATGGAGGCTGTCGGCCTGGGGAAACTGAGGAGGTCATCACAAGGGGGGCTGCCCATGTGATTGTTTAGGAGAGCATATTTGCCTTTCTCTAGTTCTAAGTTGCAAGAAGGGACAAAAATTAGCAAAGGGACAGAAACTGGGCTGCAGCTGGGTAGCCACATGAACAGAAGGAGTTTGGAGCTTTCCTTAGCCCAGGGTCTCTAGAAGTGAACCCTGTGTTCAAAAGGGTGATTTACCTGGAACTGAGGACCATAATTTTGTGCTGGTTTTCCATGATGAAAATTGGAGGGCTAGCATTTCTATGGCTCATAAAAGGCACCCAGGCCTTTTCCATTTTCATATCACCCCATCGTATCCACATCCTCAAGAGAATATGCAGCGCCCCCCGTGTCTGTTTTCTCTACTTTCCTCTTTTCAGCTCTTGGGTGTTTCAGAAAGCCCACTGATATTTCCTTGTATGATCAGGGGATTCTAATACAGAGGGTTGCCTGAGACCACTATCTCATACATCGTTTTCCTGACAGGGGGCTCCCCTAATCTCCTGGCTAAGGTCCCCAGTTTTGTGTGTTCCTTTCTTATTTTTTTCTTTTCATTACATTTATCACCTTTTACTAATTGAATATCTATTTTCCTTTGACCATTATATTAAAATACAAAAGAACATGTGTATTTAAAAAACCGTGTAATGTCTAAATTGGCAAAATATTCACATGGTTAAAAAACCGTGTAATGTCTAAATTGGCAAAATATTCACATGGTTAAAAAACCGTGTAATGTCTAAATTGGCAAAATATTCACATGGTTAAAAAACCGTGTAATATCTAAATTGGCAAAATATTCACATGGTTTACAAACAAAATAGTACAAATATACAAGAAAACACTTTGCTCCTACCTATGTGGGGGCCTCCTCCTACCCCATTCCCACCTCTCTCACTCCATTTCCTCCTGGGAAATATTGCTGATGAATAACTTTTCACATATGGTATTTTATACATGGTAAGTTTTTCAGTCAAAGGGTATATTCATCTCTAATTTTTATGGATAGGCCAAGTTCCCTCCATAAATGTTGTACCTATTTGCATTTCTTCCAGCAATGTGTGAAAGATCCTGTCTCCCCAAAGCCTTGGAATAAAACACTATCAAACTTTTGGATCTTTCTAATTTTATTGGTGAAAGACCATACAATATAATTTTTGTAATTTTTCTTGAGTAAATAAGCTTGAATATCTTTCATATGCTTCTGTAGATTATATGTTCATTGGCCATCTTTCTACTGGTTATGGATTTTTTATTGCTTTCTTGATACTGTGTATATATTAGAAAGATTTGTCCTTATAATATCAGTTGTGAATTTTTTCCATTTTAAGTTGTGTTGGCCATGCAGAGGTTCTTGATTTTTATATGATAGAATTTTTTTTTCTTTTTTGGCTTCTAAATGTTGAGTCATATTTAGAAAGACCTTTCTCTATTCAATGCCATATAGGAATTATCCCAAGTTTCCTTGTTAACATTTTTATGGTTTTATTACCTACTTTCGTAGATTTTTACCATATTGGGAGTTTGTCGTGTTGTAAAGCGAGAAATATGGATGGAACTTTATTTTCTTATTGTCTACATAATTGTCCCAAGCCATTTGGTTTTTCACCCCATGTCCTTTTGAGATTCTACCTTTATCATACACCCAACTTCCACATACATGTAAATCTAATTTTGGACTTCTCTGTTCCATTCATCTATCAGTTTGCAGTATCAACACTTTTAACTATTGTGTTATCCCTATGTCATAGAGCTATTTCTTTTTGTTGTTGTTTTTTTTTTTTCAGAGATTTTTCTGGCTGTCCTTTTGCTAAATTTTTATTTTCCATATAAACTTTAGAATCAATTTCATTTAAAATGTACTCCCCTTTGGGTTTTTAAATATATATATATGTGTCTTAATTTTTAAAAACTTTTTAATTGAAAATATCAAGCATTTATAAATCTAGGCAGAACAGTGTAATGAAGCTCCACGGACTGGCAGCATCCAACTTCAATGATCATTTCATGGCCAATCTTTTTCATGACATTTTAAATCCATTTTCTCCTCATGTTATTTTGGAAAAGATTCCACATATATCATTTCAACTTTAAATACTTAAATATGTAAATCAAAAGTTAAGATTTATTTTTAAAGCAACATTATAGTACCATTATCAGACAGACACCTATAATTTTTTTTTCAGACAGGTTGTTGCTCTGCCTTCCAGGCAGGAGTGCAGTGATCATGACTCACAGCAGCCTCAAATTCTTGAGCTCAAGTGATCCTCCCACCTCAGCCTCCCAAGTAGCTGGGACTGCAGGTGTGCACCGCCATGTCCAGCTAATTTTTTTATTTTTAATAGAGTTTGGGTCTTACTATTTTGCCCAGGCTCATCTTGAACACCTCGAGTCAAACAGTCCTTCCACCTTGGCCTCCCAAAGTTCTGGGATTTTAGGTGTGAGCCCCTGTGCCCAGCCCAAATTATTTTTTAACAATAATTCTTTAATATCTCATAACTCTCCCATAAATGCCATGGGGTCTTGCTATGTTGCCTAGACTGGTCTCAAACTCCTGGGCTCAAGTGATCATCCTCCCATGGCCTCTCAAAATGCTAAAATTACAGTTGTGAGCTTCTGCGCCTGGCCTTAAGTCTTCTTTTAGTCATTCACTGCTGTTTGGGATTTCCTCACATAGCTATTTTACTTTCTTCTTTTACTTAATGTTTACTCTCTTTATTGTGGATTTTGTAAGTTATACCCTGTAACTGGTTGTTGTTTGTATTTATGAATAATATTGATTTACATTTGGTAATTTTGTATCCACTAACTTACAACAGGTTTTCCTTGTTTGAAATCCTTTTGAAATAGACTTTATTGCATTTCAAGGAATTCATCCAATTATCTGCAAACGGTGATGGTCAGAACTCCTCACTAATTTTTATCTCTAATTTAAAAATTACTGGTTTCCTAATTGTGCTGACCAGTGCCTCCAGATCAGCACTAAATGATAGTGGGGATGGTGGACATCCATGCCTGGTGTAAATAAATGATTCATTGAAGGCAAAGATGCTATTAAGAGGGAGACTGATGATGAGACTATCTTCTTCTAAATACAAAATGAGTTTTCAATGCTCTTACAACATGAATGATCCTTAAAGACTAAACTATGATAAGGATATTTAATTTATTTCCATATTTTTTTATTAGTAAAATTCATTTACTTTTACAGGCAAGTATGAACCACTTTGAGGTTTTCTTCCCACTCCCAATTCTCAATTCCTATGGGTGCGGTATCATCTAAGAGAATAAGTGTTCTTGAACATTCTGGAAGTGTGGCACGGTCTTCTGCACCAACTCTTCTAGATGTGGGAGCCTGGTATGCCATGGACCCTGAATCTATATAAACAAGTATAGTTCGGGTGTCCCCAGTTGCTGAAGATGTTAAGTTTCACACATAATAAATATTCAGAAACTGCATGCTGAAAATAAGAAAAGAAAATCAATGCCTTATAAACAAATTCATCTCAAAGAATCCCAATGAATACTAACATAATTTAATAATTATATACACTTTTTTTTTTTTGAGACAGGCTCTGGCTCTGTCACACAGGCTGGAATGTAGTGGCATGATCACAGCTCACCGCCACCTCTACCTCCTGGGCTTAAGCCATCCTCCCAACTCAGCCTCCTGAGTAGTTGGACTAGGGGCACATGCCACCACATCTAGCTAATTTATTAATTTTTTTGTAGAGACAAGGTTTTGCCATGTTTCCCAGTCTAGTCCTGAATGCCAGGGCTCAAGTGATTTGCCTGCCTAAGTCTCCAAAAGTGGGAATTACAGCCGTGAGCTGCCGTGCCTGGCCTATATACTTTTTTTTTTCCCTAACATAACTGTTTTCAAATATCAGTCTAACGAATGAGAAAACAAGCTACTGGAATAAAGAACTTATGAAAAGATGACTTGGGAGGGAGGAGGGGAATATGGTGGCCAAGTGAGCTCACTGTTCCACTGTCTGTCCCCTCCACACTCCTAGCTGATTGTGCCAAGGAGCAGGGGAGAGAGGGCGTATTGTCTGAAAACCAGATCTATGAAGCCAACTCTAAGAACAGATAATATGAGCCCCAAATGCATATAAATATACAACCAAATATGAAACTCTACAAATATGCTCATTTCTAATATATATGTATTGTTTTATCTTTATTTTCTCACTATTTAGCCAAAAAGTGTCATAAAACACTTGTTTTTACATGATATAAAGTGTCTTCTACATCTCTTCAGCTAATTCCTGTGGCTAATGAAAAAAAATGAGAATATCTTTTATACACCTTTGTGAGTTTCAGGGGATTTATAAGTTACCAGTTGATATTTTCCCCATTGGGTTAGGAAGAGAAGTTTTACTTGTATTGTCTGATATTAAATCTTTATCCTCCCTTCCTCTAAGCTCCTCTCTGTCTCTGTCCACTTCATATTGTACCATCATCCTCCTCCCCTTTACTCAAGCAAGATGAGGTAGTAACTCTAGTATTCAAGGAATGGAATAGTTGAGAAAGAATCGAGAAATAGAATACATATATTTTTTTAAAGGATAGCCGATAAGGAAGATTTGACTCAGAAACTGCTTTTGCATTTGTCTGTCTTACACATCAAAATTCTTGCAAGCACTTGGAGCTAAGAATTGAAGTTCAGATAAGCCTTGTGTAACTCATGCTTTTGTCGTAATTATTCTCATACATCACTTTGCATGAAGCAATCCCAACAAATCTCTCCCAGTGATAGAGCCACTCATATCATTTCCCAGGGCACACATTACCTGGAGTTCAAATGTTTGTATGGTGGTTCCTGTTTTGTTATATATAAACTGACCTAGGAAAATTTCTTCTCCTTCACATTTTTTTGTGATGCCCTATAAAGAAAGCAGCAGTTATAGAGATTGTAATGAATGTATGCATTGTGTTTTCAAAAAAATACCAACAATCTACCAGATACCTCTGTGTGTCCACCAGGGGCACGGTGCTGTGATCATGCCAGTACTAACCTATACACCCAGAGAGCATTTAACTAAGGGGCCATTGAGGCCAAAGGCTAATAATCATGGAACTGACTAGAAGGATAGAGGATGGATGGATGGATAGATAGATGGATAGAAGATAGATGAATGATGATTGATAGACAAACAGATGGTAGATGAGAGACATAGAGATACACAGAGATAGTGCAAATCCCATATTAACTCTGGCCTGATAACTATATTTGCAATAAGCATACTTTGAATAAAATAAAGATGGGTCCCCATGTTGAAATGATATTTTCCAAAATGAGATAAACATAAGCCAATTGCCAGATTTTGATCACATTAAGTATTTCCTACGAAAAGTAAGCTTCCGTTGACTAACAAAAACAAAAACTTTTTTCTTTGTATGCAGTTTCTCTTGTGCTTTTTGTTCTTCTCTACCCTTCAAAGTGAAGATCTGTGAGAGGAGAATGCGCTGGCGCAAACTAATTTATTTTGTGAACGTAAAGTTTCTCGTTAGGTTCCTTAAGTTATAGTAACACAGCAAAATAAAGAGTTCATTCATTAAATCATTGCATAATAAAAATAGTAATATCAAACGACATTGTTATTAAAAAAATTGGCTACATCATGATTACATAATGTACTGGCAATTACATGTATTTATGACGCAAGCCTCATATGTTATCTTTAGCCTAAGAGAGGAGTGCTAGTTTTATTTCTGCCTCCTTTATCATGTTGTTGGGTTTTTTTTAAGAAACAGGATCTCATGGAATAATATGCAGTCATAAAAAAAATAAAATAAAACAAGATCACGTCCTTTGCAGAGACAAGGATGGAACTGCAGGCCATTATCCTTGGCAAACTAATACAGGAAGAGAAAAACAAATACCACATGTTCTCACTTTTAAGTGGGAGCTAAATAATGAGAACACATGAACATAAAGGACAACAACAGACACCGAGGTGGAGGGTGAGGGTGGGAGGAGGGAGAGGATCAGAGAAATACCTGCTGGTTATGACTCCTTAGCACTTGTATAACAAATCTGCACATATAACCTTGAACCTAAAATAAAAGTTACAAGAAAATAAAAAAATGGGGTCTGGCCATGCTGCCCAGGCTGGCCTCGAATTCCTGGGCTCAAGTGATTCTCCTGCTTTAGCCTTCTAAGTCGGTGGGATCACAGGAGCAGCTACTGTGCCCAGCTCTTTCATCACCTTGTTTTAATTTTACTTGGTTCATAAATTCTCTAATGTAGAAGAAAATAATGAGAAGCAGTTTTTATTACTAAAGGATTCCTGCCTGTGGGATTCACCCCATGATTCGTCTAAAAATGAATGTGTTCGCCTTTCTGAGATGGAACTTATTTGCTCAAACTCAACTTCGCCTTTCAGAGACAACACTTGCAGGTGGTGCCAGCTTCTATGAAAGGACAGCAGCCCTCTGTTTTGGAACTCCAGAGATGGAATGTAGAGGCATTTGGGTGGCGTGAAAGGCAGGCCGTTCAACCCTGGGCCCTCCTCCAGATGGGAAGATCAAATAATTGAAGTAAGGCATAAACCGACAAGGTAAAAGGAGGAGTAGACAGTAAAACCAAACCAAAACAAACGAACAAAAGTGAAGAAGGTCAAAAAGCGAAGATGGCTAAATGGTCCTAGAGAGAAAGAACACAAACTACTCTGGCTGTAGGTAGAATCAGTAGCGCAGGAGGGAGTCCACGTGGGGCAAGGGACGGGGAAGGAGCCCAGATCTGCGGCTTAGCTGTCAGTCATTTCAAAAACCACTTACAACCCCTCCACGCCCCCCAGCCCCGCCTGGCCCAGCAGAGGGCTCTCTTCTTTCTCCCATCTCTAAGACCACTGCCAGCACCGCCCCGGAACCGCCCACAAGTAAGAGCATCCCCTCTGCACAAACTGGTGGCCCCGCGGCCCTCCTCTCTCCAGCAGCTCCTGGTGTGGTGGGCCAGGCTGGCACCTCCTGTGTGCACTGCAGGAGTCCTCTCAGGGTCAGCTGTCCCAATAGCACACTTGTGATTCCAGAAGAAATGGCCCGACCAGATCATTGCGGCTGCAAACTCAGGACGTAGGAGCCTCGCACTGCAGGCAAAGCTTCCTGCGGGCTTTGCACCGCCTACCAATTCATGTGACAAGCATCACAGGCTTGGGAGAAAAGCCTCATGCAGGAAACAGAGAGACTCTACAAACAAGGGGGAAAAGTGGGGCTAGGAAATCCAGACCCGGAGGCCAGGAGAAGAAAATTAGACAAGCCTATAGTTAGTATCTTCAGAAGTGTAAGAGAAGGTACTGCCTTCGTAAAAGAAAACAATGTAGGCTCTAGAAAAGGGAATATGTATAGAAACAAGAAGTCTTAGAAAGTATAATCACGACAGCAGGAATACAAATTTCCATAGAGGGATTAAAATACGAATTAATATGATCTTCCAGAAGGTGGAACAAAAAACAGAAAAGGGAAATAAGAAACACCTTTAAAAATCATAAATTAGACAATAAATTGACTCCTCAAGGATGCAGAAATGAAATCCCGTGACAACAGTTGTGTGTCAGGCCTACCTAGCAAGGCTGGAGCAGAAGGCAGAAGGCGCCAGAGGGATATCTCAGGCGGGGAGAAAAGAAAATGAAGGAAGGAATGATAAAAGGAAGAAATTTATAAATGATCTGATGTGAATTAACATAATGGGAGAATATTTGTACTTCTGAAGAAGAATTTGGGAAAGTTTTGGTAATAAGAATACAGAAAACTAAGCAAATTAAAGACAAATCGACTGGGCACCCATGGCTCATGTCTGTAATCCCAGCACTTTGGGAGGCCAAGGCAGGAGGATCCCCTGAGCCCTGAAGTTTGAGACCAGCCTGGGCAACGTAGTAAGACAGCCATCTATACTAAAAATCTTAAAAGTAAAACAATCTCAAGAGTTTGAAGTTGCAGTGAGCTGTGATTCTGCCTCCATACTCCAAGCTGGGCAACAGCTGAGACCCTGTGTCAAGAAAATAAAATAAAATAATAACTAAATGTAAAACAATTATTACTCTCAGGAACATCAAAAAATTATGGAAGAAAGTAGTATTTAAGTACACTAAATAGTTCAACTGAGAGTTGTTTTGTTCACATAGTCACCGTATTGCTTGAACAAAAAACAATGTAGTCTTTTAGCAGTGCCTCAAATGATAAACCTACATTTGCCATGTGGTCTAGCAATTCCAATCTTAGGTATAAACCCAAGGGAAACAAAAACTCATGTCCACACAAAAACTTGTACATGAATGCTTATTGAAACATTATTCATAATAGCAAAAAAATGAAAATAACTCAAATGTCCATCAACTGATGAATAAATAAAATGTCATATATCCATACAATGAAATGTTATTCAGTAATAAAAAAATAAATGAAATATTGAGACATACTACATCATGAATGAAACTTGAAAACAATATGTTACATTAAAGAAGCCATTCACAAAAGATCACAAAGTATTAATGGTTCAATTGATATGAAATGTATAGAATAGATTAATTTATTGAGACAAAGTAGATTAATAATTGCCAGGGACTGGAGGAGTACAACAGGGGGATAGGAGGCGATGGCTAAGGGGTATCGGTTTCTTCTTAGGTAAGGAAAATGTTCTAAAATTGATTATGTTATACACAACTCTGTGAATATACTAAAAGCCACTGAAAGGTGTACTTTAAATGGGTGAATTAATTGTCATGGGAATTATATCTCCAGAAACCTGTTTTGGTTTTAAATTAAGACATAAGCATGGTGGGAGGATGGAAGTGCCATGGAAAAGAGCTAATCTTCATTTTTCACGAGAGGATGTCATAACCCAAACTGAAAAATCAAGAAATAATGGTAAAAGCAAACATGGAGGCAAGTCCCACATAAACATCTAAAATTGTTGCAAGTAGAAACTTCGGGATAATGAGAATTGGAGATATAAAGAAGTGGGACAAGGAATTACTGTTTCTTTATAAACTTTATGGAAATATTTGATTTTTACTTACACATATATCCCTGAAAGTTATAACTTTGATAAAAGCAAAAAATAGAACTGAATAATATAAATCATTTGGTCCAACACTCTCTCTTTGTAGATGAGAAAGCAGAAGTCCAGGAAATAAGTGACACAACTAGTTCTCTGTCCTAGTGCAGAGGACAGCCTCTAATTCCTAGCCGGCCACGTTCTATCACAGGCCAATCTGAACGACAAATTTAGATAGCTTCTTACATAGATAGAAAATTCCTTGGGTGCACTGGAGATGTTTCCTGAGGGAGACACCTTCTCTGAGATGTGCTCCATGGTAACGGCAGTAGGTATGATCTTCCTAGCAAGCTTGATTAGAGTATGACCCTGGGAACCTGGAAAAGCCCAGCACTTTCCAGGGTAGACATCTGGCTGGAAAGAAAACACTGAATTAATCTCTTAACAAGTTATGTAAATCCATTCCCACAATACTGGCCAGCTAATCACTATTGACTGCTGATCTCTCTTATGCCTGTCAAATAGGAAAACTCCCAAGACACCTCTAGTGTGGTTGCTCTTCGAGTGCACTCTATGCTTATAACAATCAGAGTGCTTTATGATATGAGCATGTTTTCTTTCATTCCTCTAACTAGACTGTAAGCTCTCATAAGGCAGCTAGAGGGCATGAGTGGTGGTGCTGGTAAGGCTAGTGGTGGTGGCGACCATTGTGGTGATGATGGTGGTAATAATGGTGGCAGTGGTGACGGTGATGGGTTGTAGCAGTAGTGGCGATAGTAATGGTGATGATGATGGCAATGGTGAAGGTGATGGTAAGGGTAGTAATGGTGGTGGTGCTGATAGTGATGGCGATAATTGAAATGGTAGTGGTGATGAAGATAGTGATGGTGGTGGCAGTGACGGTGGTGGTGGTGATGGCGAGGGACGTGGGGATTGTGATGAAGAAAGATGGTGGTGGTGGTGACGGTAAAGGTGAGGGTGTTGATGGAGATGGGGGTGGTGGTGGTGGCTATGGTGGTAGAGAAGAAAAGTGAGGTCTACTACTTTGTAGATATAAACTACAGCCTGAAATAAGATCAATAGATTTTACCCCTGAAAGTTCTAAGTTTGCAACTAACTTCAGGTGTATGGATGAGGGTTGAGAGGTGCTCTGCCGTCTTTTGATGCCTACTGCCTGTACAATGTAACTGAAACGTTTGGTGGGGATGTTCCCTGGAGATTTCTCCTGTTATAATTGGACTTAAGAACATGTGGTCTGAATAGTACTTAGCACAGTACAGTACTGGCACTTAGGAGACAAGAACTTTCAACAAATGTTTGTTGAATGAAGTTTTCAATGAAAAAGGGTGGTCACACAATGAACTTACAGAAAAGACGTGGAATGTATGTGTTCTATTTGAGAATAAAATCATCTAGTTTACTAATCTTAAAATGATAAATAAGTAATCAATTAATCACAGTTTATTGACTATAAAGTAAGACACAATTCATGCAGTATATTGACTATAAAAAATGTAATGAGATGAATTCAGGTCTTGTAACAAGTTCAGACATTCTTATATTGCCTCCATTTTATTTATTTAGGGACTGAGTTTTGCTCTTTTTGCCCAGGCTGAAGTGCAATGACACAATCTTGGCTCATTGCAACCTCTGCCTCCCAGGTTCAAACAATTCTCCTGTGTCAGCCTCCTGAGTCGCTGGGATTATAGGTGCCTGCCACCACGCCCAGCTAATTTCTGTATTTTTGGTAGAGACTGGGTTTCACCATGTTGGCCAGGATGGGCTGGAACTCCTGACCTTAGGTGATCCTCCTGCTTCGGCCTCCCAAAGTGCTGGGATTACAGGCATGAGCCACCAAGCCCCAGACCTTCATTTTTTTTAAATTAACATTTTCATGATAAGTAATAATAACAAAATCCTAAAATAGAAATAAATGATTCTTAACTTAGCTTTACCTGAAGAATAGTATCTGGAGGCATTTCATGATTTAGGAAACCTATCCCATGCCAATACAGTTTTGCTTTATTATTTTTATAACTTTCTGAGGTCCCAGCTTCAATGATGGAGGCTCCTAAAATTATAAAGTAATCTTTAAAATAAAGAAACAACATACACAATTCAAAATACATCATTTGAGTTCTAACAATGTCTCTTGAAAATTATTACTGGGCAAATTATAAGTGTGGTAAAATTCACGCTCAGGAATTGATAGGAAAAGTATGACAGTTTTCATTACCACTGAAATTTTGCCGTTTTGAAAAAAAGTTTGCTCTGTTTAGTTTCACAAAATTGAATTTTGAGGAAATTAAACTAGACATGAAAATATTATATGGATTCTGTATAACCTAAAAATGTATATAGATCTCCATATTTTAACAGCTGATGTGATTAATGAGATTTCTTATCATCTCCATTCACTCAATAACAAAAAAATCAGAAAACTGGCTGGGTGCCGTGGCTTAAGCCTGTAATCCTAGTACTTTGGGAGGCCAAGGAGGGCAGATCACCTGAGCTCAGGAGTTCGAGACCAGCCTGGGCAACACAGTGAAACCGTCTCTACTAAAAAAAATACAAAAAATTAGCCGGGTGTGGTGGCATGCGTCAGTACTCCTAGCTACTCAGGAGGCTGACGCAGGAGACTTGCTAGAACCAGGGAGCCGAGATGAGCACTCCAGCCTGGGTGACAGAGCAAGACTCCATCTCTAACAAAAAAAGCAGAAAACCAACAATGCTGCCAATGTCCTTCAAGTTACATTTGTAGCAGCAATTATGCAGATTCATTGAACTCAATTTCAATCAAAAAGATAGGAAACATACCCACCAAACATTATCCCTGCAGGTTACTTCATTTTAGAAGCAAAGTGTATTTTATACATAAGAAATAAAGAAAACATAAATTGCTTTTCAAATTGCATTTGCATAACACACCACAACACTAAAAATACATGTGCCTCATCAAATATCTAATTATTCATGCTTTTTCTAAGATGATACAATTTTTGAAACAGTAAATGAATGCCTAGAGTTGTCAGATTTGGCAAATAAAAATATAAGACTGGCATTTAAATTTGAATTTCAGGTAACCAAAGAATAATTTTTTTAGTAGTGATCATGTGCCACACAATATTTGGGATATATTTTTACTAAAAGATTATTTGCTATTTGTCTGAAATTTAAATTTAACTGGGCTCCCTTTATTTTATCTGGAAACCCTATGTGTACCTCGTTTTTGAAGGCTGATACTGACTATCCAGTCACTATTCTACTCGACCAACTGGCTGGACAGAATCTACACTTTCACCTGCTTGTGTGAGGAATGAACAGCCCACCCCCATAATCCTTTTAAAAAGATTTAAATTGTGATGTTGTGGAATTTTGAAAATAATTTCTATTTATTCATTTTCTGATTCATTTAAAACATTTTAAATCAGCTTTATTAAGATATAATTTACATCCTATATAATTCATTCATCCTTTATAATTACATCCTATATAATTCACTCATCCTATATAATTACATCCTATATAATTCACTCATCCTGTATAATTACATCCTATATAATTCACTCATCCTATATAATTACATCCTATATAATTCACTCATCCTATATAATTAATCCTATGTAATTCACTCATCCTATATAATTACATTCTATATAATTCACTCATCCTATATAATTACATCCTATGTAATTCACTCATCCTATATAATTACATCCTATGTAATTCACTCATCCTATATAATTACATCCTATGTAATTCACTCATCCTATATGAATTACATCCTATATAATTCACTCATCCTGTATAATTACATCCTATATAATTCACTCATCCTATATAATTACATTCTATGTAACTCACTCATCCTATATAATTACATCCTATGTAATTCACTCATCCTGTATAATTACATCCTATGTAATTCACTCATCCTGTATAATTACATCCTATGTAATTCACTCATCCTATATAATTACATCCTATATAATTCACTCATCCTATATAATTACATCCTATGTAATTCACTCATCCTATATAATTACATCCTATGTAATTCACTCATCCTATATGAATTACATCCTATATAATTCACTCATCCTGTATAATTACATCCTATGTAATTCACTCATCCTGTATAATTACATCCTATGTAATTCACTCATCCTGTATAATTACATCCTATGTAATTCACTCATCCTGTATAATTACATCCTATGTAATTCACTCATCCTATATAATTACATTCTATGTAATTCACTCATCCTATATAATTACATCCTATGTAATTCACTCATCCTATATAATTACATCCTATGTAATTCACTCATCCTATATAATTACATCCTATATAATTCACTCATCCTATATAATTATATCCTATATGAATTACATCCTATATAATTCACTCATCCTATATAATTACATCCTATGTAATTCACTCATCCTGTATAATTACATCCTATGTAATTCACTCATCCTATATAATTACATTCTATATAATTCACTCATCCTATATATTTACATCCTATGTAATTCACTCATCCTATATAATTACATCCTACGTAATTCACTCATCCTATATGAATTACATCCTATATAATTCACTCATCCTGTATAATTACATCCTATGTAATTCACTCATCCTGTATAATTACATCCTATGTAATTCACTCATCCTATATAATTACATCCTATGTAATTCACTCATCCTATATAATTACATCCTATGTAATTCACTCATCCTATATAATTACATCCTATGTAATTCACTCATCCTATATGAATTACATCCTATATAATTCACTCATCCTATATAATTACATCCTATGTAATTCACTCATCCTGTATAATTACATCCTATATAATTACATCCTATATGAATTACAGCCTATATAATTCAGGGTTTTGTATTACATTCTTAGGGTTGCCCAACCACCACAATCAATTTTAGAACATTTAGTGAGTCCCAAAAGCGGTTAGCGGTTAGCTAACCCATAGCGGTTAGCAGTCATTCCCCAACCTCCCTCCTCAAGCCTCGGCAAGTATTAATCTATTTTCTGTCCCTGTAGATTTACCTATTCTGGTCACTCCGTTGCTGCGCCCTTGTAGTCAATCACAGTATTAGCCTTTTCACTAAGGCTACTTTCATTTACCCCAATGCATTTGAGATTTATGAACGCTGTAATGAATATCAGAAATGCGTTCCTTTTATTGACTGCAGCTTATTATCCCATTGTATGAATGCATCTGTTAGTCTTTGTTGATGGACATGGAGTTGTTCTCAGTTTTGGTGATTATGAATATCATTGCTATAGACATTCTTGGCAAGTTTTGATGTGAACATATTTCAATTTATCTTAGATAAATATACAGAAGTGGGATTGCTGGGTCAATAAGGTGGCATATTTAACTTCGTGAGAAATTGTCAAACTTTTCCAGAGTGGCTGTTCCATGTTACACTCTCACCCACAGCCTATGAGAAGTCCCGTTGTTTCATGCTGTTGCCAGCCCTTGCTATGGTCAGTTTTGTTGTGTTTGGCATTCTAATAGGTGTGTAGTGCTATAACATTGAGCTTTTAATTGATGTTTCACTAGTGAATAATAATGTGAAGCATTTTTCCACTACTTTTTTGACATACATATATCTTTTTAATGAAGCGTCTTCCAAATCTTTTGCCAATTTTTTTTTTCAGGTTGTCTGTTTGCTTAATTGAGGCTTGAGAGTTTTTTTAATAAATTCTGGATTCAAGAACGTGTGTGGTTTCCAAATATTCTCCCCCAGCCTGTAACTTCTCTTTTCATTCTCATAACTGGTCTTTTTTGCAGAACAAAGTTAATTTTTATGAAGCCCATATTATCCGTTATGTTCCTTTTACAATTATAGTTTTTGATATTGTGTTTAAAGAACTTTAAAAGACAAGGTTTTTTGTAGATAAACCTTTCTCTAACTCAAAAAATTGTTTTTTCTAGAATTTCATAGATTTAAGCTTTTTATTTAAGAATGTGACTTACTGGGTATATATCCAAAAGACTATAAATTGTTCTACTATAAGGACACATGTACATGAATGTTCATTGCAGCACTGTTTACAATAGCAAAGCCCTGGAATCAATCAAAATGCCCATTGATAATAGACTGGATTGGAAAAATGTGGCACATATACACCATGGAATATTATGCAGCAATCAGAAATGATGAGTTTGTGTTGTTTGTAGGGACATGGATGAATCTGGAGAACGTCATCCTCAGCAAACTGACACAAGAACAGAAAATGAAACACCGCATATTCTCACTCATAGGCGGGTGATGAAAAATGAGAACACATGGACACAGAAAGGGGAGTACTAAACACTGGGGTCTATTGGGGGGAAAAGGGGAGGGCCAGTGGGAGGGGGAGGTGGGGAGGGATAGCCTGGGGAGAAATGCCAAATGTGGGTGAAGGGGAGAAGGAAAGAAAAGCACACTGCCATGTGTGTTCCTACGCAACTGTCTTGCATGCTCTGCTCATGTACCCCAAAACCTAAAATCCAATAAAAACTGAAAAAATAAAAAAAAAAGAATGTGACTTATTTTGGATTAATTTTTATAAATTGTGGGTTTGAGGGCAAGGTTTTTTTTATTTTTGCATATGAATGTCCATCTGTTCTAGCACCATTGATTTACCTTTTGTCTTTTTTCAAAAATCTATTCACCACATATGTGGATTATTTCTAGACTTTCTGTATTGTTCCATTGATTTCACAAATACCACACTCTCTTGATTACCGTAAACTTATAGCAAGCCTTAAAATCAGAATTCTCCAACTTTCTTTTTTTTTCCCAAACCAAATTTGACTATTCTAGTTCCTTTGCCATTCTACATGCATTTTAAAAATGGCTTGTCAATTTCTACAAATAATGTGGTGGGATTTTGATTGGGATTCTATTGAATCCATAGAAAATCTGAGCAGTATCATCATCTTAATGGTATTGTGTCTTCTAATCCATAAATGTGGTACACTTGTCCATTTATTTATATCTTCTTTCATTTATTTTATTATTGTTTTTTAGTTTTTAGATCTCAGTTT